AAAATCTAGTGGTAAACCAAAGTCAATTGTGTGGGGAACGTACATTAAGCAGGGAAACCAAATTTCTAAAGGTCATTGGAGCGCAACATGTAATTATTGTAATGAGTATTGGTACAAAGGCTCCCCTGCTGCTCTTGAAAATCATTTAGGTAATTTATGTAATAAAGCTCTACCAGATGTTCGTAGCTTATTTTTAGATCGATTAGCAACAAGAGAACTTGATGCATCAACATCAAAAAAATGAAAACTTAATGTTCAGTCACAACTTTTAGACTTTATTGAAAGTACCAAGTTAATACCAGATCATATTAAAGATATAAATAGAGCATTAGTAAAGGCGATTATTATTTGTGGAATCCCCTTTCATATTATTGAGAATCCATTTTTTGTGGAGTTATTAAAAACTTTACGTTCAGCATATGAACTGCCATCCAGAGATGTTCTTTTTAGTCACTATTTGGCACAAGAAACAGCATTTGTTAACCAAGCAATGGTTAAACAATTGAATGAATCAAAAAATCTGACTATCGGTAAATTAATTATTTTAGTTACACTAATTAATAAAACCGATCGATCTTATGCATTAATAAGATCACTTACAGGTTTTATTTAGTATCACTAATTTTTTATCTTGTTTTATTATTTAGCATGTAACGGCTGGAGTAATCCTTCTAATGAGTCAATTTGGAACTTCGTAATCTATATGCCAGCTCACTGTCAATATTTGTGGAGTCTTCAAAATCTGTCAAATGAAAGACATACACAAGAATTTTTAGCAGAAGAGATTACTAATATTTTAGAAAAAATTGGTCCAGAAAAATTCTCTGCTATTGTAACAGACTCGAGTGCTAATATTAGAGCCGCACATCATATTATTACAGAACAATACCCAAATATTTTAAACATCTGATGTATTTCTCATGCTATTAACCTTATTTTAAAAGATATTAGCAAAACATCATTCGCAGATCGCATGCTTAAACGTTGCAAAATTTTGGTTAGTTATTTTAAAAAAAGCTATCTTGCAGGTAATTAAAAATATTATTTAAAGTATGTTATCAGCATTCTAAGGTCCCTAGATCAAAAAAAATTATTTATTAATATGATTATAGGAAGTATACTTAAAACTTTAGCTGAAAAAAATTTAATTGAAGGAGGTGGTCTTAAACAATGGGTAGATACTCGTTGGCATACTATGTACGATTGTGTATTCTCTGTTATAAGGCATAAAGTACCGTTAGAAATAGTTAAGTTATTTGAACTTAAAATAATAAATTTTTGCATATAATAACTGTAAATCTGTTCACAGTTATTAATTAATCGTAAATAATAAAGTTGTATATAATAATTTTTTTTTTTAATTAATTTATAGATTCGTAATAATAATCCAGATATCGTAAATACCTCAGTACAAGCAATCTTACGTA